CTGGCCGCAGCCTCCCCGGCGGCCACAGGAAGGCCTGGCCTCGGCCCGGCCCCCGGGGTCACCTGGGCGCCCGTGAGGACCACGGTCTTCTGCAGGTTCTCCAGCACGAAGGCGAGCACGGAGGCGGCGAAGGCCATGGTCTCTGTGCCCCACTGCATCTTCACGGCCCACAGTTACTTTCAAAGTGCACAAATTCATGCACTGGGACCCTAGTGTTCTATAAAGTCACCACAAACACCGAATTAGGTGATTCTGAACAATTGCTCTAAGGGTAATGTACTGGCCTGGAGGCCCAGCTGGGCAGGCTGGAGTCCTGGCCCCACTTCCCCTGCCCCGGGACGGCTCCTTCCCTGGCTCCTGCTGTGAGCCCACGGTGTCGGGGTCAGTGGACTTCCCCCGGGGACAAGCAGGGCCCCCTCTCGGCTCCCGGTAGTGTCCCCCGAGGGGAGGCCCAGGCAGGACTCCTGAGAACACCGGTCAGTGGGGGCCCAGCCAGAACCCAGCTCAGAGAGCCCATGCTGAGTGACATCGGCCCCAGGGCAGCAGGAGGGTGGGGGGAGCAAGCCCTGGGCCTGGCTGTCCAGCGGGTGGGCCAGGCATGGGCACAGCGATGGGCGGAGGCACAGGCAGCACTGGGAGCGGCCGGGAAGGCGGGCCGGCGGGCAGGTGCCGGCGGGCAGTGGGGAAGGGTCCTTCCAGGCACAGCCCTCCTGGCCAGCTCGGCAGGAGTGAGGATGGCTGCGGGGACAGCCTCCGGCCACCACCTCCTAGAGGGCCGCCAAGACTGAGCCTCGGAGTGGTTGCGAGGGGCCCAGTTTCGGGACAAGGGGACTGTGGTGGAAAGGCCAGCAGCTGGCGGAGGGCAGAGCTGAGCCACAGCGCGGGCTGGGGCGCCATCTGCTGGCCACACAGGACTCGGTCACAGCAGGTGACCGGCTCCAAAGGCCCTGGCTGGACCCTGCAGCCAGGACAGCGGGCATGTGCTCAGCAGCGCGCAGGCCCCTCGGGAGGGAGAGTGCCCAGGACAAGGGCCCCAACATGCCCACTGGTAGCCGGTGGCCCCATTCAGGGACATAGGGGCCAGGCCCAGCCACACGCCCTGTCCCAGACGCTCACAGTGAAGGGGGAGGCAGGAGACAAGCCGTGACTGTGGGCCAGGCCCTGGGCTGCCAGGGAAGGGGAGCCTGTGTGATGACCCCCTGGGGGCCGGTGAGAAGTGGCCTGGAGGATGGGGGGGCCCCCACCCCGGGAGCCAGGACCAGGATCATGCAGGATGGGGTGGGGGGCGGGGGACAGAGAGGACAGCTGGTGGAAGGCGCCTGGGCCTCCGGAAAGGCGTGCTGTGAGCCAAGACACCCCTCGGGGCCCTGCACCCTTTCCTGGCCCTGCCTCGTGGGCGGGCGAGGGGCCGGCAGCGGGGAAAGGGCCAGGTGTGGGCTTGTCCGTCTGTGGGCAGGTTCCACACACCCGGACCCAGGTTCCTACTGGGACAAACCAAGCGCATGAACCAGAACCGCTGTCTGTCACCGCAAAGAGCTACCCTCCATGCACGGGGGAGGGGAGGGCGGGATGTGGGGGCAAGGGCCTCAGAGGCTCTGCAGCTGGGAGGTGACCCGAGAGCCGGGCACTTTCCTGAAGCCGCAGACCCACCACATACCCAGAGCGCGCTGCCCAATAGCCCTGCCTGCCTGCAGCCCCGCCCACTCCCACAGCCCTGCTCAGCATGCACAGCCCCGCCCACACTCCCCGCTACCTCAATGGTCTGGGCAATCTGAACCCACTCAGTGATGGTCATGTCACTGGAGTCGAAGAGGGGCTGGCACTCGAGCACCGTGTAGAGGATCCTCTGGTCGGGACTGTCGGGCCTGCGGGGGCACAAGGGCGGTGCCCACTGACTCCACCTTGGCCACCTGTTCCCCTCCAGGCGGGGCCTCCGCACCAGCCTGTGTCTGCGCTTCCACACTCGCACCCTGAGTACAGGGCCCGCCTGCCTCCCTCCACCGGCCTTCCCAGGAGCAGGGACCTGGGGCTGAGAGGGCCGAGCACAGCCCTGAGGGATGGGCCAGGCCGGCCTGAGAGGCGGTGGCGGCCGAGGAAGGTCAGTGACCAGGAGGGCGACTCCCCACGCGCCTGCCAGCCGTGAAGGGCACCAGGCAGCTGGGCCGAGAGCCGGGAAGCAGGGCCTTCGCGTGGGAGGAGGGGCCAGCGGGCCACCCCAGCGGGTGGGGTCTGAGGCGCCCTCCAAGGGGGACTGGGTCAGGTTAAAGCCGTGGAAGTGGACATGAATGACAGCCCTCCCCAGGACAGCCGGCCGCCCCCCTGCCTCCCCCCCCCAAGGGAGCCCACACTCACGGCAGCACCAGGGTGTCCTGGTGGAGGCCACGGGCCCGGGCGTGCTCCTCATCGTGGAACATGGGCATTGTCCTCAGGACGGCGGCCAGGCCGCTCCCCGGGACCAGCACTGCGGGGGGGGAGGGGGTCAGGGGCTGGCGGCCACCCGCACGTCCCACAGCCACGGGCCCTCCGTTCTGTGCTGGGCATTTACTGCCCCGTGCTGGGAGCCAGGCCTGGGCAGGGGTGTGGGCAGGGAGCAGGGCTGGCCCAGGTGAGCTCGGGCCTCAGGGGAGTCAGAGGCCAGGTGACAGGCCTGCAGTGCCAGGGCCCCGTGTCCAGGTGAGCCCACCCGGGCTCCTGGGGCCTCGGCCCTCTGTGGCCTCTTTCTCAGATGCCCACTCTCCTGCCCCCACTCCACAGAGCACCCACAGACATGCTCCTGGTTCTGCCAGGAAGTTCTCAGCCCCAGCTCTCTTCCAGCCTGTCAGGTGCTTCACCCCAGCTCAGGGCACTGCCTCCAGGAAGTCCTCCATGATGCCCAGGCCCTGGTGCTTCTCCCACATGCCCTCCACGGCCTCTGATCCCTTGTTGGGCTGTGTGCCACCCCTCCAGGGTCCAGCCCAGGCCTCCGCCTGCAGCCTCCATGCCCCAGAAACATGCTTCTACCGAGGCCCTGGCAGAGAGGGCACCGGGTTCCAGGCAAACCCTAAAATAGGGGTGGGGACGTCCAGCCCCACCATGGTATCAGGGGTGAGTTAGTTCAATGTCTGACCACATAGAGCAGGCTCCTTTTTAAGTGGATCATTTTGTGTGGCCCGAGGGTGACGTTACAAATGTCCAACGGCCTGGGCAGGGAAAAGGGTGCCCACCCCTGCCCTAAGCGGTCACAGTGCCTCCTGGAGACACGACTCCTCGGCACAGGCCTCCGCCCACACTGCTCCCTCCAGGCACCGCGCCCTCGGGCACCGTCACTCCTCACTGAGGCTCTGCTGGGCGTCTCCCATGTGCTCGGCTGCACTGGGCACCGGGACTCAGCAGCAAGGACAACAAGGTCCCCACCCACCCCCACCGAGAAGTATCCTGGCTGGAACATGTAAGGCCTTCAGGACCACGGTCAGCAGTCACTCCAGGGTGACAGGCTTGCTCCCAGCCTTCGCATCTGCCGGGTGTATCAGTCCCCGCTGCTGTGTAACAAACTGCCCCGAGCCGGGCTGCGTAAAACAGCACCACGGCTGCCTCCCGGCTCAGGGAGTGTTGGGGGCTGTGTCCCAGCTTCCTCGGCTGTTGTCAGAATCCGGTCCCATGTGCAGACCACTGTCCTGGCTGCCTCTGACCCGCCACTCTCGGCTTCTCCGGCTCCCAGCTCTCAGGCCCAGGCCCCTGGCTCTGCCTTCAACGCTGGGTCAAGTCCTCACACTTCAAACCTCTCTGACCTCCTCTGCTCATCTTTCCCCTTACGGAGTCCGGAAGCCCGCTAGCCTGATCCCCGAGGGTCCGTCTCTGGGGCTCGGGGCCAGTCCGCTCCCTCCCTCGGGGTCAGCAGCTGAGCTCGGACCCCCACTCCTCGCCCTTAGGACCGGGGGGCACCAGCTTCCATCCTGTTATGTGTCCCGACAGCTTGGCCTTAGGACCAGGGCAGTATCTTCTCTGGTGTCCACCACCTGGAAGGTGCACTGACCGGGTGCAGCGGGCGGCCAGGCGCATAGGCCTCGGGTGCAGCCCCGCTTGGTCCGGCCCAGCCAGCTCCCAGGCCACTGTGTCAGGGGGCCCAGCCTACAGGGGCTCTCGTCCTCTCAACCGGTGTTGCTTGTTAGCGCTGGAAACAAAGGGCTTCGCTGCCTCCACTTTCGTGTTTCCCATAAACGGCTCATCGTTTGCGTCGCGCTCAATCCCAGGCTTGACCATGGACCCTTTTTCTCAGAAAAACTTCTACATGGAAAACAAAGCAGCTGTTTTCCGGGAAAGCTCTCCTATCGGTGTAACACCTGGTCATTAGGGTTCCCTCAAGGAGCCCGGCCGCTGGCTCCGCGCTGAGCGATGATCTATGAACCAGGCAGTCACATGTGGGAAGCCGCCTATTGTCTCCACTAGCAGAGAGGTGTGGACGAGGAGCCCGGGAGGCTGGTGACCCTGAAGCCCTGGCAAGGTCAGGGCTGTGCACCCACTGTTAGTCCAGACGATGGCAGCTGCAGCAACTTCCCCATTTACTATTGTGTAAATCCTTGGTGAAGGGCTAGTCTGCCTGTTCCTGGAAACTGCCGGCCCAAGGGCTATGCACCAGGGGAAGTCCTTCCCCTTGAGTTGGACTTGCCCGCCTGGCCCCCCAATATTTCCAAATTATTATTTCTTGTCTCGTCTCTTTCATTTGCGTGCGGCTCCTCTTCCAGATCCTGAACCCTGAACCACGCAGGACGTGGGGGAACAAACATACAACTCTACACATCTGGCACCTCAACGGGACGTCAGGGAGAGAAGACTTCACTAGAGCGGAGAAGCGAAGATTCACCATAAAGGTGGGGGGATATTTCACTGCACACACGGCCCACGGTCAGCCGCAGAATCATGACCTGTAAGTAGGGTGGAAACGTTTCCTTAGCCAGGCGAATGGGGCAGAATTCGGCTTACACAGTAAGAAACTTTATTGAAGGTTTTTGGTTTGCATGCTTACGGAGTTTAAGTTTCAGAAGGGAATCTCTTACAGCTTTTGCATGTTATTATAGAACATAACCCTTGGTTTCTTTGAAGAAGGTACATTAGATCTTGAATGTTTGCCAAAAAGTTGGTCAGAACTTGAGAAAAAGATCAGCAGCAGGAAAAAACGTGCCTCCAAACTGTTTCCCTGTGGAGCACGGTATTTCATTTGCTAGAGCCTTTAGGAGAGGCCGGGAGGATAGATCTCCTCCCCTGCACCCTCCGCTCCTATGTTGGGCTGGAAAGAAACTTACTGCAGACTGATTCATCTGCCTCTCAGCATAACCACTATTGCTTGTCTCATTTTTGTTCCCATGTTTATTTCTAGTCTGCGGATGCAGAATGAAGAGTCTTAAAAGGACTCGAACCCTTTTAGGCGGCATTCACTTTTCAAGATTTTTTTAAGGAAAAGAGAAGGGGGAGATGTGGGAAGCCGCCTATTGTCTCCACTAGCAGAGAGGTGTGGATGAGGAGCCCGGGAGGCCGGTGACCCTGAAGCCCTGGCAAGGTCAGGGCTGTGCACCCACTGTTAGTCCAGACGATGGCAGCTGCAGCAACTTCCCCATTTATTATTGTGTAAATCCTTGGTGAAGGGCTAGTCTGCCTGTTCCTGGAAACTGCCGGCCCAAGGGCTATGGGTGGATCCCAAACCAATAAAAGGTTGGTGTGGCCTGAGCACCAGGGGAAGTCCTTCCCCTTGAGTTGGACTTGCCCGCCTGGCCCCCCAATATTTCCAAATTATTATTTCTTGTCTCGTCTCTTTCATTTGCGTGTGGCTCCTCTTGCAGATCCTGAACCCTGAACCACGCAGGACGTGGGGGAACAAGCAAACACATCTACACAGTCACAGCTCAATTCGCGGTAGGGCACAGGCCCGGGTTGCGGGCTCGATCCTTGAATGTTTGCCAAAAAGTTGGTCAGAACTTGAGAAAAAGATCAGCAGCAGGGAAAAACGTGCCTCCAAACTGTTTCCCTGTGGAGCACGGTATTTCATTTGCTAGAGCCTTTAGGAGAGAAAACGCAGTAAAAGCAGATACACACATTAAAGATCCCTCAATAAGATCCAAGGGCAGCGGTCACATGACCAGCCCACCTGCTGGGAGAGAGCCAGTCCCACAGGGGCTGCACCTAAGCCCTCCTCTGCCCCTCACCCCCTCGCTGCCCTGACCTTGGCACGGCTTGGCCGTGCCGTGTGCCCTGGCGGCTGCTGTTTACCTGCAGGTGCAGAAGTGCCCTCGACAGTGACGATCCAGACAGCTTTGCCGAGGCCGGGCCACCTCCCTCCCGACCTCCCGGGGGCAGAGCCCACGTCAGCAGCCCGGCCAGTTAATCATTGACACCGACACCATCCGACACCGCACGAGGGAACGCCGGGCGGGGGGCCTGCGGTCCCAAGTTCATCCTCCCTACCCCCCACCCCCGCCGGGCCAACTCTGCCCCGGACATGGACAGGTCCACGCCACCCGTGTCCGAGGGCAGCCAGACACCTCAGTGCGGGTCAGGGGCACCAGGGCCCTCGCTGCTCCTCTCCTAGGGGTTCGGCAGGGACAGGCTCAGGTCTCCCCTCCTTCACCCCCACGGCCTTCCCTCCTTCACCCCCACGGCCACCACCGCCTCCTGAGGGGGAGGGTCTGGCAGCGGCCGGGAGGCAGCAGGGCAGGTGCCCAGTGGCTGGTTCCTTCTGGGGCAGAGCCCTCAGTTCAGAGCAAAGACGCTGCCACCACCGCCGCGATCCCAGTGGGCCAGGCTGGGGTGCCTGCTCTGAGACCCCAGGGCTCAGAAGGCCGGTGTCCCCGCTGGCTGGGGCAGGCTGGCTGCTCTGAGCCTGAAGCCTGAAGGGGGACGACAGGGGCCTGGCCCCAGACGAGTGGGCAGGCCATCCCTCGAGGGAGCAGTGGCCTCTCTCCCCAGCCCTCCCAGACACAGGCTGGTCCGGCAGTCAGGTGCCCGCGGCCCCGTGGCAGGCTCCTCTGGGACCAGCCCAGTCCCGGGGGCTGCTGGTTTAAGGTCCAAGCTGAGGGACCAGCAGCCCTGTGGTGGGAGTGTGGCGCGGCCCTCTTGGGGTCCACCAGCGGCGAACTGTCCAGATCGGGGATGCGGGAGGCACAGCAGCGGACAGCAGGCTCCTGGCAGCCCGGGGAGCCTCGGCCGCGATGCGTACCACCCTGTCCCAGAGCCCGAGCCCCTCCGACAGGGCCCGGCCACTGGGCGCCCTGAGGATGTCTGTGAAGTGACCGTCGCATGTGGTGGATGGACTAATGGGGGCCGAGGCCCGGGAAGCACTGTCAGAGGGCGGAGGGCAGAGGGCAGAGGGGCTGCTTCGGTGGGCAGCGTGGGGAAGGAGGGAGGGACAGGAAGTGCCCAAGGACCGGCCAGGGCAAAGGAGACCGTTAGATCTGGTTGGGGGGGGGGGGTGCTGAGTTAGCGCTGAGGCAGGGAGGCAGGGAGCCAGGCCCCAGAAGGGCTGCTGGGAGCGGTCCGGGTCCCGGGAGGACGCCCAGGGCCGGGTGTGGGGCCGCCCCAGGTGTGGCCGGCACGTAGGGGAGCGGCTGGGAGCGGAGAAGGGAGGTGACAGGACAGGGCCTGGGAAGTGGGGCTCCCGAGGGACGTTCACCTGTGGACGGCCCGGAGGGGGAAGGGGCTGGAGGATGAGGCTGAGGCTGTCCTGCCGCCTGGGGAGGGCCCCACAAACCGGTCATGGCGCCCAGAGCAGCCTCTGCGGCGGGACCCGGGAACTGGGCTGCGATGCTCTTCCCTCCCCGAAGGCAGCCCCGGTCAGCAGCCTTGGGACTGGGAGCCCTGGTGGCCCTCGCCGCACACAGAGTGGCCACCCCTGCTGACTCCGGTCAGGCCTAGGCCACAAGCAGACAAGACACAGCCCCCCAAGCCCCCTGCACGCTGACCTCCCCAAAGGGTCAGAGCCCCCAGGCCGGCCAGGAGCTCAGAGCAACAGGGTGGCTGGGCATCACCGCGCTCAGGTCTTGGAGAGGC